CTCCGCTATCGTTGCCAATGAGGACAATGCTATCAGTTTTGGCCAACGGAGCCGCCACTTCGGCCGCGATCTTCGGCAGTGCTTCCAGAGTGAGGGCCAGAATAGCCGCGTCTTCGTATTGTTTATATGCCGCCGCTTTCATCCGCATCCGTTCCGCCTCTGCCTTTCCCACCGCTTCGATGCCGTAAGCCTTCAATCAAATGCACAAAAAAATCAATTTTATGAATAACTTTTATAATATTTTTGGCATATTTATGTTCAACAGTTAGTATATACTGTATGTGAACCACCAGTTGCTGTGCGCATACCTGGGCTGCGCCAATCAATTTGATACGTTGAGCGCCGGCCTGAGCGACGGCCACGGTTTTGGTTCGCTCGCCGCCGGCAATCATCTCCACCCGATAGGCCTCGGCTTCCGCCGGGAGTTTCACTTTAGACATGAGTTCCTTCTCCTTCCTTAAGATCTCCTTTTCCTGAATGTCGATCTCTTTCCTCCTTTCGACCACTTCTATCTCCATCTCTTCATTTCGTATCAATTGTTGCAGTTTTGCGCACTGAAGCTCATAAGCCAACTGTGCCTCAGCTTTCTTTGTGTTGACCTGAATATTGTTATTTCACCATAAAGTTAGATATTCTCTCATAAATTATAGCTTTTAGCTCTACTTAAGTGCACAACAAATAATTTATTTCTTTATAAAGTAATAGATTCCTAAACGAGTGTATAATTTGTACGACAAAAATATCAATTTATAAGAAATATTGACAAAAGCGAGCGAAATAAGTGTCGCATAAATATGTCAAATGTTAGACTATATATGGAGAGAATGTGAGACACAATATTTTATTAGTGAAAGCAATATTATAGCGTAAACTAATTAAATATAATTTGAATTTTATATTTCCTTTTTATGTATTTATTGCTAAAAATACTTTCTATTATTTTCCGATATTAACAAAAGAGATCAACGATTACAACAACAAAACTAAAAGTTTCCTAAAATAACATTCAAATAGATATTTACAAAGGAGAGTGAAATCTCGTGGGCGAAGGCATACCTCTCCATCATATTTGGCCTTTTCTAGCGAGAAGAGTCTGTGCGCGTCCTCTATCTTAGTGTCGGCACTGTATTTGGTTTCCATTGACTCCCGATTACAGTGAGCCTCCCGTATGCCGGCGTCCCTCTCGGCCAACGCCACCCCCGTCTGGGCGTCTCTTTTCACTTCCGCCGTTCGGGTTTTGCCCAAAGAGGACAAGTACTCCACCGAATCGTACACGTCTTGTATCGTAAAACTCACGATTTCAATACCCATTCGGCCCACGTCTGGATTGGCCACCTCTCGCACCAGTGCCGCAAATTGGTCCCGATCTCGATATATGGCTTCCACTGTCAACGTGCCTATCAGTGCCCATTAGATAAAGCACCCAAAAATATCGATACATTTTTAGAAACTTTTTTAAATGTATAATAAAGAGTATAACAAACCGAGAATAGACCGTAGATGACCCTCGAGCGTTTCGTTGAGCACGTGATGAATTTGCCGGACACTCATGCCGAGGAACTGTTCGGCAGCGATGGTCAGAAAGTCTTTCTCGTGCATAATCTTACACTGGGCTATACCGGTGACACTGAGGGGCACTCCCTGTGCCGTCTCGACGCTCTCGCACCTTGGCTTCAATGTCATGATCTGTAGGGACAGGCGTTGAACATCGGTCACCATCCACCACGTCCACGCCCAACCGCCGATCACAAACTTGCGTTCAGTCGCTCCACACCACCCGCCAGACACTATCAACGCCTCGTTCGGGCCCACAGTCTCGATGTTTCCCATTCCGATGGTTAGCCACAAAATGAGTGAACTTTTTAAAAAACAGTTAATATTTTGTCTGAGAATATTCTGCCTTCAGATCTCATATACAATCAAATTGACGACACATTTAATAGTCGTGTGAATCCAATGTCACGAAATGAATCCAATCATTAATTATACAGACATACATGTATAGAGTACATTAAGTGCTATAAGTTATATGATATAACCATCGATTCATTGATCCCT